GCTGCAAATGAAGGAATATACCACGTAAATGATATAGACAAGGATAAAGTTAAAAGAACCGGTGATATAAACCAGGTCTTCGGTATGACATTTAAGAGTTCAGATTCAGAATTTGAACCAGGTCAATTAATATTTTCAAATAAGAATGCTATAATTACGTTGATACCAGGTAAATATGGAGATCAGTGCCTAGAGATAAAATCTAGGAAATCATTGTTTTATATGCCTGAGAAGAAGCGAAAGCCTTTTTGACATTCAGATCATAAATGGTAAAATATAAATAATAAAACTTGTATACCCCATGAATGCCTTGCAATTCTATTTATTATACTTAACCTAAATAAACCTTGTGGTGACGGACTAAGAATACAGAGTGTCACCACCCCTATTCATCCCGTGGGTGTCGTAAGAGGCGACTAAGGGAGTAAACTACGCAGGATAACAGCACTGCAGAGAGAAGGAAAACTTGACACAAACCCTATACCAACCCGTCTGGCCAGCGTGGTATAGTAGGCCAAAACCTCCTTTCTACGGAGAGGCCTATGTCCAGCAGTGGACTATTAAAGGCTGTTGATGATGATGATGAAATAAAGTTTAGGAATAAACTAGTTCTGTCCAATTTTCTAATCCTTCGGAAACAGTTCTTTTTTTAATAATAGGTACTATATGTTCATTTTTATGACCCTGAAATCTGTATGCAATATCTAATGATGAAATTAAGGTTACGATCGGTCCTGTAATGAATTCATGAAAGTGCAAAAAAATCACAATGTGTACAACGATGTCTTGAAGGAACAAAAACATATTCGTAACGTTATATACTAGTCCAACTTTTTCAGTATTATTTTATATTTTTAAAACTCAACAATGTATAAATCTAGTTTTTAACAGCTTAATGCAACTATCCCAGAATATTTATTTTGAGGATGCTAGTTATTCAGATTTTAAGAATTTTGAACGCTTTAGCAACTTCAAAATTTTTGTACAAGGTTCATAATAAGATTCCAAAAATTTAACATCGTTCCTGAATATCAAAATAGTTTTTTTATGGAAAAGAGGAGATAAAAGAGCAGACGGATCACCTGTTGGAAAGCAACTACCGCACCGCCACCCATGAATGCCTGCAACTGAGGAGTCTCAAACAGTTTGCAATTTCAATTTATTATAATTAAGTCCATGATACATTATAAAAGATTAAAACAAGTCAACTTACAACATCTCGCAAGCCGTTTCACTTTTTAAAAAAGGGCAAAAAAAAATAAAGCAAGTCGGGAATACCTGATATGAGTAAAACTATATCTTTAAAAATGTATAAGCTATAAGAAACTGCTTATCGTCAGCAGCACTACTTGGACATTTTGGATTTTATTTATATCAACACCAAAAATATCTTCTTAAAGAGAGAATCTGATTCACGCTTTTTTGAATGCCTGACCATTAAAAATTAGTTTTGATTTGGCGTGACAAAAATAAATAAAGTTCTGAATGAAGAGTTGCTCCGATAAATTAGTGTAGTTTACTGTGACAGTCTGACAGGCAACGTGCGCACGCGTCGATTCATTCGTCGCGACGGCAGTGACATATTGTGGCTGGTAATGACTGTACAGGCAGAGGAAACGAATCGATTTAATGAAATCAATGGCTGTCGCTAAAAGATAGTATTTCTGTCCGATAATCCATCTCAAGAATTCTTAGTGTTTGGTTTCGTTAAGTAAAAATAATGATTTCATTCAATTTCGAGATCCAATTAAAATAGAAATAGTTTTAACATTACTTTAGACTTTTAAGACTAAGGGAGCAAAATACGCAGGACAACAGCACTGCAGAGAGAAGGAAAACTTGAAACAAACCCTATACCAACCCGTCTGGCCATCGTGGTTTAGTAGGCCAAAACCTCCTTCCTATGGAGAGGCCTATGTCCAGCAGTGGACTATTAAAGGTCGTTGATGATGATGATTAGACTTTTGCCCCTATACCAGAAACATGTTTTAAAATATTATCCTATTACTTAAATGCTTTAATAAATTCAAATACAATGACAAGCTCTCTTTATTAAGAGCAACCTCAAAATTGCTTTGAAATCTTAAGCCAAAAGACAGAAAACGCCATCACAAGGTTATTATGAATTATGTAGGTTACACAAACGGTAACAAGACCAAACACGTTCTCTTTGAAACGAAGACTTTCCTGTCAATTATGTGGCAATGTAATTTCCATTTCAGTATGAGCGTCAACTGTCGCTGTGATGAAGTAGTGGTCAAAGATAAACACTCAGACGCGACTTTTTAAATGTTATTTCTTATTTTAAAACAAAAATCGTGTTTAATTTTACTTATTTTTAAATATTTTCTATAAGGTCTATGATATCAGCTGCATAAATACAAATATGATTTCAGGGCCTATACGACCTTCAAACCTTCCTCAAAGGCCGGCAACTCGATTGTGACTCCCGAGTTTCAGGTGTGACTAGATGGTTGTTAATGCAAATACAGCAATTGTTCCACCATATTTTACCTTCTTTCTAAGGAGAGGCCTATGTCCAGCAGTGGACTACTAAAGGCTGTTGATGATGATGATGATGATTTTGTCTGCGCCGACTTCAAAATCCGCCTCTAGCCTTTGTAAGTTCGTATCACTAAGATTTATTTAAATTTAATTAAATTGTAATGTACCAATCTGTATGAGGTACGACGGTACTGACAAGTACGAATGTCTAAAGTCCCTAACAATAAATAAAGAGAAAAAAAGATACAGAAATACTCTATATACAAAAAAGTATTTTTGTAAGACTGTATTTTATACCAGCATTTATCTTATATACAGTTGTATGTAATATAAATACAGGTATAAAATAAACAAGATAAACATGAGGTTTTAAAAAAATATGATGAATTCTTCGTATAATAATAATGTTTAATTTTTTCGGACATCCAACACACAACGCCATCTAGTTTCAAACTAAATAGAGCTGGTAGTACTATGAAAGCTCGATTGGCTGATAGAATACTTATTTACTTTTTTGTAAAAACATACATATTATACATGGAAAAAAACCCAAAATCCGAAAAAAATATTTGTAGATCACACAAACGTTTGGTCCGACCCGGAAAACAAACCCGAGACATCGGCACCTCTGCACTACCGAGGTAGTTGATATACTCGTAAATGCTACTTTTGTTAGGCAGCGCAGAAAGAAATAAGTAATCAAAAATTACAACAACTGCAATAATACGATCGCAAACTGAAAACCTCGGATATTCATTGAATACATGACTTCATAGCAGCATGGGTTTCTTTTCGCTTAATCCTCTGTGCCATATAAAGCTAAGCTAGTAAGCTAAAATAATTCTTCTATTATAATTATCAACCACAAAGTTTTTCTGTCATTCTTCTATTCCTAAACATGAGAACTATCAACATTTGTGTGACATTTGTTTCAAAATTGTCGATATTATTAACGAACGAGGGTGGGTGGTAAACCGAGGCGATTGGGTGGCATGTTCATGTTTAGCTTAATAGTTAGCGTGGTGGTATGAACCTATTAACATAATAGTTTCATTGATTAGTGGGAAATTAGGCTTAAATGTTTCCGTTTCAATGTGAGACTGTCGGTGCTTAGTACAGAGTGGGATTTTCTAAGCGTACCTCTGCTAAGACGGAAAGTACTCTTAATACTAATAATAAAATTATAATCCACGATGGTTTAAGCGGTCGCCACGCCACTTACTACTATGCTGAGTGTTGTGGGTTCGATCCCCACATGGGACGACACTTTGTGTGATCCACAAATTGTTGTTCTGAGTCTGGGTGTTCTTTGTGTCCGTTTCATGCATGTTTGTAAAGTCCTCCGCGACACAGGATATATTCCTAATGCGGGAGTTGTTTTTTTTTTTTTGTTCAATTCCCGCTCAAGTCAAACATTTGTGTGCATGAACTTTTCATGTTTGATTTGGTCTGGGTGTTTCTATGTGTAATATGTATGTATTTACAAAATAAAAGTATTTATGTATTTATATCAATTGTCTAGTAACCCTACCCTGTCTAGTAAAGCTCTGCTTAGTTTGGGACTAGATGGCGTTGTGTGAATTTGGTAGAATATATTATTATTAATAATAATACTTAACACATCTCACACACGGCCGTCTGATTGCAAACTAGTCAGATCCTGTGCTGTGGTAACCAAACTGCCGATAAACATACTTATATATTTCTTAATACATACAAAATATAGATAAATTACATCCTGACACAGACCAAATCATCGTCATCATCGAAATATTTTGTCGTGGGTGGTAATCGAACTTACGATCTCCGGCTTAACTGTCAGGGTTACTTACCACTAGACAAACAGGCCCGCCGAAAGGTTTACAAATAGGTTTGTAAGGTTTACAAAGTTACGTTAGTATCAAGATATTCAAAGACGGTGCACCTAATGGTAAGTAGCACCCACTGCCCGTGAACACCTACTGCTTAAGAGTCGCAAGTTTCTTACCGAGCTTAAAGTAAAAGCCCTCAGAGTAAATGAGGGGGCTTTTTTTTTTAAAGACAATCGCATTAGGAATAAATCCTGTATCGCGGGGGACTTTACATACATACATGAAACGGACACAGAGAACACCCAGACTCAGAACAACATTTTGTGAATCACACAAAGTGTCGTCGAATGTGGGGATCGGACCCACAACACACAGCGTAGTAGTGCGTAGCGTGCGTAGTAGCGGCGTGGCGACCGCTTACCACTACGCCATCCGTTCTCAATTCGACTGTTTTTTTTTTTTTTTTTATGTTTGTTACCTCATAACTTTCGACTGGGTGAACCGATTTTGATGATTCTTTTTTTATTGGAAAGCTGGTGCTTTCCGTGTGGTCCTATTTCAATTTGGTCTAGTTCTGACCATGGAATCCATGAAAAAACCATTGAAGTCGGTTTTTTTTTGTTAAAATTTTACTTGTGTTCCACTATGTTGCTCATATTTCTGAGTTCTAGCTAAAATATTAAGGTTTTGCTCCTAATCTAACGGATATTTGGGATAATTTACCTTAAAAGGTTAAATTGCTTACTTTACTAAAATATTAATTACGTGTATGGCTTTCGAATAAATGTTTATCTTCCTTTTTTTTCTATTTTTTTACATAAATATAATAACGTAAGACCGGTCTCTTCATTACTATATTCCTAATCCTCATACGACACTAATTATCCTTATTATCCTTAACTTACCTTACTTGCTACATAATTTTTATTTTCTTTA